ATGTTGTTTGAAACTAATTTTAAAACTATTCAGCTCTCCCGCTATACATTCACCATGAATGTGATTATTTGGTTTTTTGATATTGGGTGGCTGTGTGTTCCGTGTTTTTCTCTAGGAAGTCCTGTAAAGAACATACGATACGATTGATTATATGATATCACCAAGCAGTCTGATGAGCGTAGTGACGGTAGAAATGACATTTTTTTTTAATTTTAAAGCGGATGTTGCAGATTAACACAGCTACAATGTAAATAAGTGTAACAGCGATGAAAATAAAAACAAACCCTTGAGTCAATTGACCGACGCAATTATAAAGTAAATTAGATAGAGCAGATAGAGCAGCAGCAGCAATATAGTAATAACGAGCTTTTGAATTAATTAACATATGATGATTGTATAACATAAATTTGTATAACAAACCCTTGAGTCAATTGACCGACGCAATTATAAAGTAAATTAGATAGAGCAGCAGCAGCAATATAGTAATAACGAGCTTTTGAATTAATTAACATATGATGATTGTATAACATAAAATGAGAGAACGATTTTAATTTCTTAATTGCTCTCAGTTTTTTCAACGTTTTAACGCTTTAAAATACAGCCCGTTATTCTCGAATGTTATATTAGTAGTAAAAAAATATTATTGTTCTTGGTAATGTATATTAGAATACTTGTCAAAAAGTCTTTAATGAAATACAAAAATGAACAATTTTATGATAAATATAATTAAATCGGATCAACGTTTTAACCGATGAATTAGATATGATGCTGGCAGTATTATTCTGTAAGAATTTTTTTCAATGAAACATTCAACTAACCAATAACTTACGTGACTGACATCATAGTGTCTAAACAATTGTATCAATTAATATTTTAGACATTTAATTCTTAAAGCGTTTCACATTTAACAACTGTTGGAGTTTGTACTAATCGAACCGTTTCAAAATTTCCAACGATAAATATTGATATGATAAATATTGAAGAATAATATTTTTTACAATTGCCATCATTAAAACAACCCAACAACATAATTTGTTGCAGGTCTCATATGTCTCGGACCAGCCAGCGTCAACTGCGTCGAAATGTTCGTGGAGCCCATGAAAGCCACGCTATACACACCCGACGCCTACATCTTCGTAAAAAATTATGAACAAGCAGCAGAGATATGTAGGAAGAGTGGCGGGAGGATGATCGAAGTGAGGAATGAAAAACAACATCAGGTCGTAAAATCCTTCTTCAAGTTACATTTCTCGGCTGCTTCCACTCACGTTTTCATCGCTTTGAAACGGAGAGATTCAAACAGCAGAACTCTGGCTCATCCTGTCTCCAGACTATCCGGTTGATATTTGGTTCACTGTTCTAATATTTTTGTTTCAACGTAGTTGTGCTATCTAATAATAATTTGCTTGAATTGTTTTTTTTCTTCAAATTATTACTTTAATTATAAATAATTGGTAATTATTGCTTTACTAAGGTTCATCTCCCATAAATATAAATGAACCTGTTGATGCTGGCAGTTACGTCTTCGCTCACAAGTCAAAGTTGCACACCTCAGCTCCCAAGAGGACGGCTTATTTCTGCTGCTTTTACGGTGAGCTGAGTGTCTTTTTGTAATTTTTAGCATGGAAAGATATTCCATATTTTGTTCTTACTAAGATGAAAACGTTGTTAATTTGAAATTTGAAGAATAAATCAAAATTATACACACACAGCTTAAAACGTAGCAACATAAATTATTAGCATCACAAACATAAAAATGAACACGAACCCAACTGAGGATATTATAGAAAATTAATTCAGATGTACGAGAATAAAATTGCGTATTTGCATTTAAATTTGTACAGCACAAATGTATGCATGTATGGGTTTTTGCCAAAAATTTTAAAAATTTGTTTTATTCAATCGTGAAAATTTACTGACTTAACTTATGGCATGCTGCTTATTATTTAGCGAAATGAACTTAAAGACATAGTTGTAGTTTTCAAATCAAAATGTGAGCTTTAGAAACGACTGTTACGATGAATAATGAAGACCTCCTTGTCCCATCTTCCTTCTTACTTGTGTTCCATTTCCAGCGGTAACAGCTTGGAGATGAAGCAGCGCTGGATAATGCGATATAACACGAGATAATAGACTAGCATATATTTCTTATTACAATGCTGCGTCCTACCTCGGGGAACCGGGTCTCTGGACGCAAAACGAAGATTGATTGATTGATTGATTGATTGATTGATTGATTGATTGATTGATTGATTGATTGATTGATTGATTGATTGATTGATTGATTGATTGATTGATTGATTGATTGATTGATTGATTGATTGATTGATTGATTGATTGATTGATTGATTGATTGATTGATTGATTGATTGATTGATTGATTGATTGATTGATTGATTGATTGATTGATTGATTGATTGATTGATTGATTGATTGATTGATTGATTGATTGATTGATTGATTGATTGATTGATTGATTGATTGATTGATTGATTGATTGATTGATTGATTGATTGCACATTGTTTCCTTTACTCCAGGAAGTTGTGTCGGATCGGTCCCCCATTCATCGGGATGTTACAAGCTGCACGAGAAGTACCTCACGTGGTACGAAGCAAGGTCGGTTTGTATGGATGATGGAGGAGACCTGGCGACATCAAGCGACAATCATTCATTAGAAACCTTTCAATGCAAACATACCGACGAAAAGTACTGGTTGGGATACTCGACGGTCACGTGGTTCTGGGAGAGTGAACCAGGTTGTCTATAAACGTTTTTCTAGATTTGTTTTTGAAAACATCCTTTTTTAAACTCAAAAAGAAATAGAAATACATCGTTTTCAACATAATTTCTTGGTAGTGCAATAATAAATAAGTCCTACTTGTAAGAAATGTTCGGTCAATCGCACAAATAGGACATCACGAACATTGCATGATAATAATAATCAACCAACAGATTTTTTCGTCAAATATACAAACTGGTTGAACGCAACCGAGAATTCGTCGGTTGGAGATGAGGAGAAATGTGTCATCCTTCAAAACACGAACTTCAAATGGAGAACATCTGCGTGCAGTTTAAAAGAAAACTTCAGAGCTAACGTACTCTGCATGAAAGATACGAGATTTTCCTGTAACCTCTCTTTCACTTCTCTCTAATCTTTGATTAGTTTAGTTACCATTAACAACAAATTTGTTCGAATTTTATAAATGATCTTTCAATCATATACATCTTTAAAATTACGGCAGTGACTGCGACAAAAGAAATAAGAACAGATATGCCTACAACAGTTGTAACGACTTCAACGTCAATTAGACAGCAACAATCAACTTCATCGGCTCCGCAACAGGCAAATGTGCTTGATTTAGGTGAACATACAGACACACACACAGAGACACATACAGACACAAACAGATACACGTACATGCATGTATTTAAATAGATAACATTTAAATTAAATAGAAATTTATTCTTTCTGCTCGCGAATATTACTCATAAGTTACGTTGGAAAGCGGAATATAATGATTGTTGATCAGAAAGCAACAGTCGAGAATGATGTTTAGCATTAAAAACGATATGCAATGTAAACTAACAGCATATTCGTTTCCTTTATTTTTTAAATGTTGGTTCATCTAAGATTACATCATACATATGACGATCTATGTACTACATTATCTTTTTTATCATCGTCATTATCATTACTATCAATATCGTAAAACCATCATAATGGCACATTTAACATTATCTTCCTCACATTACATCAAATATGACACCAATTTTGACACCACTGACAACATTGTGTAACTTGCCTTGTACCCAGCCCTGACGGCCAGCCAGATATTCTACATGTGCCTCTTCCTTCCGATCATAATCATACTGATTGTCATATTGTACGCCATCTTAACCCTGCTTAGAAGAAACTCTGACCTGTGAGCAACATTTAAAAAATCAATTAATTCATGAAAGATTTATTAGTTATGTATCCAATCAAAATGAAATTTAGAAATAGAAACCACAAAATATGTTAATTTTACTTTAGTCGTTTCAGACGTCTGCATTTTATGTCGCGAGTGAATTTATGTTGTCTATAGAAAATTAATAATATTCAATCCTTTAGTAACAGGGTCATTGTGAAAGAGAAAGAAAGATATGGACATGCTTTCAAGGATGCAGAAAGAAAAAATGAAAACCTAATTTGGGTCGATGAGATGGACAGTGAGTACAAAGTTTTAGATTCGAGAGAAGCCGATGTGGAGAGAGAATACATGAGATGCAACCGGGAAGACTCAAGAAAGGATGTCGATCAGAAAAGCGTTACCAGCAACAATTACGAAGAGGTCATCGAACGTGATGAAGATGAATGTGTCGTCGTAATCGTAAAACCTGAAAAATCTGAAACCTGAGTGAACGAATGTAGTCAACTGTCTATATTACATTTTGTCAAATTAAAAATTGCGCGTTTGTTAATAAATAAGGCATGACAATTTAAAAACAATCGTTTGAACTGGTTTTTAATTTGTCAACTTAAATTGTTTTAGTGATAATCTTTTGTTCTCGAAATTAACATCATGTAACTGAATGTTGCTTGGGATCAAAAATGGCAACAGTTTAAATTATATGCTACATTTGGATTAACTTATTAACTACATATTAACTTTGGATTTATAAATTGACTGATAAATTTTTATAAAAAAAAAAATTGTTAAAAACATGAAATAAAAATTGACAAAAAAGTTTAAAACAAAAACTGATTTTCTAACCATTAATATATAATAAAATTTCTATAGCAATCATAAAATACGACGTTGAATTATTAAGTAGATTCTGTGAAAACCCCATATTAAAGGCAAGTAGAGAATGGTGAATAAAAGTTTGGTTGAGGGCTTTAAATCCCGTTAAAACCGCTGAAACAATATAATTTACTCAACTATTTACATTATCACATTTTAGAAGTTCGTTGGTAAGAAGAAATTACTATGTTATGGTGAACTTTGAACCTTTTGAAACTTTAAAAATAATAACTTGTCCTTTCCCCAAAAAATAAAATAAAAAAATAAAAGTCATTAGGATTAGTTAGTTGAAATGGCGGAGCGAAAGTTTGGTATAAAATTTGCAAACATTCTCACTACGCCTCTCGAAAGAAGACTTCAAACATTGGCAGCCCTACAATGGGCCTATACTTTTTACTTCATGGGTCTAACTGGGTTGGCCCTCTTTTTATTCCTCCTATTCAGTTCATATTATTATATAGCGCTTTTATACTCCGTGTGGATTATTTACGACATTAACGCTTGTCAAATGGGTGGAAGAGAGATCCAGTGCCTGAAAACTTGTAGAGTTTGGGGGTACTTTAGGGATTATTTTCCAATTAAGCTGCACAAGTCAACAGATCTTGAAGCCGACCACAACTACTTGTTCCTCTACCATCCTCATGGCATCGCCAGCTGTGCAGCTTTTTCTTGTTTTGCAACGGATGGACCTGGAGCGTCCAAACTCTTTCCGGAATTGAGATTTCGTTTGCTGACATTACGTTGTAACTTTTTCCTTCCATTTGCAAGAGAATATATTTCTTTTTATGGTGTGTTCATTCATTGCTTTAATTTTAATTAAAAAAGTTATTTACAACTTTTAGATAATTAAATTGTTTTTCTCAACCAAAATCAAGTGCAGAGATTGAAAAACATGCATGCAGCATGAAATAGCAATAATGATCTAATAAAAACTTTTCTTCTTTCTAAACATTTAAACCATACTTATCTATTTATTCCTTCATGCATGGTTAAGTTATAAGTTGTTGCAGTTTTTAATTCCTTACTAGAAGCATAATTAAATTTAAATAAAATGTTGCACTTGAGCGAAAAAATATTTGAAATAAAGTTTACTTGAATAATTCTGTTTCACTAACAGGAATCTGTGCGGCTTCTAAAGAATGCATCCACCACCTGCTGACGAATTGTGGCACCAACAATGCACTGGTCCTCGTAGTTGGGGGCGCTCGTGAGGCTCTCGAAGCCAATCCTGGAAATTTCAACTTGGTACTTAGTAAAAGGAAGGGTTTCGTCAAACTTGCCCTTCAACATGGGTTGGTATTTTTCTTTATTTCTTGCTATTATAATTTTTTTAATCTTTGCATTAAATTTTTGGCAAAATTTTTTGTCTCAGCCTTTCCTCATTTTTGAAATTAATATTTTATTATTTATTTACAAGAGGTGAAGTTGATTAATTTTTAAAAACTGGTTTATAATTTTCAATAAAATTTAATGTTATTTCCAAGTTTTTCACATTAAAAATATTCTGATACAATAGAGGAGACTTATTAATTGTGACTATTTGAAAATTTTTCAAATTTTTTAAGCACTGTAATGTAATAAAACATAAAATATAACAGTAAAATACCAAAAAATGACATAAAAATAGGACTCCTCTGGTGCCAGTCTATGCATTCGGTGAGTCGGACATATACACACAAGTTGCTTTGCCACCTGATTCAAAGTTGCGCAAGATGCAGAACACATTCATGAAAATTTTATCTTTCTCTCCGCCCATATTCCACGGCAGAGGCATCTTCAACTACACTTTTGGATTGCTGCCCTACCGACGACCCATCAACGTTGCTGGTCAGTGGGTGGCATGTTAATGCTCTCGTGAATTTTTGACAATAACCATTCAAATTTTTCTCCAATTAAATAAAATATTTGAAATGTAAAAACTGAAAATAATTAAAGTAAAAATATATAATAATGGTTTTCACAGCTTTTTACAGACACATAAAAAACTAAACTAACACCACTAATTTTGTTATTGTTAAAGTTGGGAAACCATTGAAACTGCCGAAAATTGTAAACCCAAATGACGATGAGGTTGGTTGGTCAATTGTGGTTTGTTTGTTTTGTGTCGTGTTCTTTCTGTTTGTATGATTTCGCTGAATCTGTTCGATTGTGTTTAACATAGATGGTAAAGATGGATGGTTATGTTTGCTAACTTCATTCATGTTATTTGCCATAATTGATTGAACTTTAGTTAAAGTGGGCTTTTAGTTGTAAAATGGATTACTGACATGAAGGGATAGCAGTTTTTCATAAAAGGCCATCATTCACGACATTCTTTAGATTATTATCGTTGAGAAAAGAATTTTCTTTGTATACTTCTCATGGACTAAGTTTTTACAACAGCAATTGAAGTATCGCATAATATAACCCTAAGTGATGTCAAATTCAAAATTTCATTTTTGTACTATCTTTATATATTAAACGTCTCGTAGAATCAAAAAAACTTCAACTCAAAAACCACTCCACTGCCACAACCACCAGATAAATGAGTGGCACAGGAAGTATGTTGACCGGCTGGTTGACCACTTCGAGAAGCACAAGTTGCAGTTTGGACTGAAGGAAGATGATCATCTTAATATATTGTGACCATTTTAATGAATTGTGACCACCTTAATATTATGTGACGATCTTACTATCTGATGAGAGTTGAGTTCAATTAAATCTACTATACCACGTTTTTGCAGTTGTTTTTGTTTTATACAACATTTTTTCTAATTATAACCATCGACTTTTTGATTTTTTTTTTTCATGGATCAGTATTTGTTCTTCTTCTTTTGTTAGCACAGTTAAACCAGCCAGCAGTTGTGCAACGTTGCGTTTTTCTCGTTAAGATTTTCGGTGATATTTCAAATGATTTCGTATGTATGCTGAAGGCTATTGTTCCAGATGGCGTGAGATTGTTTTTTGAATCTAATCGTTTTTCAAATGCTTATAATAATTATTGCTCAGTTTACATTAGTTTTATCCATATATATAGAATATATGTAGAGAGTATATACTCTATATTCATGTTTTTTTTTCGGTTGTAATTATTTTATCCCATGTTTCATAATCGCAGTTGTATTTTAAAATTCAACTTCTCCGATTGCTTTTTTCAAACTGTTATATAACGAATGGATTCCTTTTTTTATTTTGTTATATATCGGGATTGTCATATGATGTATGTATATATCTACAAATTCGTGACTTTGGAACTAGATGTGCTTACCTGTTCTGCAATCTTTCAGTTAACAAATTGAGAATTATGATTCAATTTACGCATTGTGATTTCTGTTGAATAAACATTAAATTGTTTATTCGTTACTCGCGGTCCTGCTTTCGTTGAAAATGTTGATATTGTATCGCCTGATGATAACTCAGTAAAACAAACATCACCACAATATGTGCAATTTCGATGAATCATTCTCTCACCACATTTTAAGAGGCACTCTGAGGAACTTGTATGTAAAGTGAATAAAATAAAGTGCCTCATCCGTCACTGATTGGTGACACGACAAATAAAAATAATTTTTGTGGAAAGTTTAACGTTTGTTCAATTTTCTAACATTTTGAACGGAATGCTTACAATGTTAGCATCACACTACTATTTTGGTAGGACAAAAAGCCTTAAGTTTGATTGCTGGTAACAATTTTCAATTTATTTATTATGAATTACTATTCATTTATGCGGATTTTTTTACCAAAATTATAAGTTTTCGGTAATCACGTTTTAAAAATTTGCATTCCTCTGCATTAGGCTTATATTATATAATTTCAAAATGTATACAAGTAACCAGTAGCAGATCTAAAGGGAGGGGGCAGGGACTGTATTTGTATTAGAAGTCAGTAATACTCAGTTCTAACCTCGGTAAAACACCGTTAAAATTGATGTGATAAGCAAAGAAAGGTCAACGCCATTTAACGTAATGGCTACTTTCTTATTGTCATATACCAACTTCTAATTTGTTTCTATCTTATTTACAAATTTATTCTCCATGACTTGGTTATTTTATTTAATTCATTAACATTTTCAGTTATCACCTCAAAACAAACTTTTAATTCGTTAACATTTTCAATTATCACCTCAAAACAAACTTTTAATTCATTAACATTTTCAATTATCACCTCAAAACAAACTTTGATCCGTTAAAAAGCACTCTACACACATATAATTTCCTAACGCTAATACAACCTACACCCTGCAATACATCAACTCACTAATCGGTTTTTCTTTATTCTGATGGCACATTACGTTAGATCTTTCTACACCGAATTCGTGTGACTTGCAGAAACAATTTACGATGGTCTCATCAATTTAAATATTAACGTACAGTTTGAAATTGTAAAAATAATAAGAATTAATTTCTGGTTGAAATTCAAAATGCAAATTGAAATAAAAATGATGAATAGTGTTTTTATAGTGAAATTTATAACTGCAACTATTATAAGACCACTAATGATGAATTAACTTCACTCTATCTACCAGTAGGCCTTGATGATCAAAGTTCAATTTTGTTCAAGTTTCATAGCTATTCTTGAGTATTCTTGCCTTATAACGTCTATAAATTTACGGCGAGTGTTTTGTTGATACAGTAATAATGCGAGTAATGCTATTTTAAATGGCTGTGAAAATATTGGGCATCGAATTTGCAAACATATTCAAGACCCCTCTCGAAAAAAGGCTGCAAACTTTGGCGGTGTTGAAATGGACTTACAGCTTCTACTTCCTAGGTGTTACGGGGTTGATTTTGTTCGTATGCCTGCTGTTCAGTTCATATCATTATGTGGCCCTACTATACGCTCTGTGGTACATTTATGATTACAAAACTGGTGAGATGGGTGGAAGGGAAGTTCAGTTGTTGAAGACCAGCAGAGTTTGGAGTTATTTCAGAGATTATTTTCCAATTAAGCTGCACAAGTCAGCAGATCTCGATGACAACCAAAACTACTTGTTCCTCTACCATCCTCATGGTATCGCCAGCAGTGCAGCCTTTCTTTGTTTTGCAACGGATGGAGCCGGAACATCCAAGCTCTTTCAAGGGTTGAGGTTTCGTCTGCTCACTCTACGATGTCATTTCTTGTTTCCGTTCTCGAGAGAGTATGCTGCTTCTTATGGTAAAATTCCTATTTTCACAATTTTTTTGTAAGATGAATTGTTAATTTTTAAAAGAAGCTACAAAAAAAATAATTGATTGAGTAAATATAGATGTTACTTGATACTACCATCCTTTACTCTCATCATGATATCAATATTTTAGTTAATGTTATTAACGATGAATTGAAATTCGTGTATGAGTGGGTTGTTTCTAATAATTTGCGCATTAATTTAGACAAAACGTGTTTTATTTTATTTGGTGCTAAGATTAGGACTGACATTGTTTTTCCTGTTATAACTTTAAATAACGGTGCTGTCAAAAGAGTCCCTTCAGTTAAATTTTTAGGTGTCTTTATTTCATCTAATTTGTCATGGTTGACTCATATCAAACACATTTCAAGCAAGTTAACTAAAAATTTGGGCCTAATTAATCGTTTGAGTACTAAATTTCCTAGGTTTATCTTATTCACATTACACAACTCTCTCGTATTACCATATATTATTTATTGTATTTCTGTTTGGGGGGGAGTTCAGCTCCTAAATCAAATCTTCATATTTTAACATTATCTCAGAATTTTTTTCTACGTATTTTATTTAATGTACGTAAATTTGACCATATTACTTCTTTTTACAGTCTAGCGAATATTTATAATATAAAGCAATTATATATATGTTATTTATTACTTTTATTTTTTAAAATTTATAGGTTGAACTATTGTAAATTGCTTTTCAATGTACTTGTTTCATTTAAAAATACTAGATGTGATCGTTTCCGTAAAAATCCAGATTTTTACCTTTCCACGCCTAGGTCGAACTTTTTTCTTTATTCAGCTTTATCATTTTCAATGCGTCTTTGGGATACGTTACCTGAAAATGTGAAAAACTCACCTTCCTATAGCATATTCAAAGCATCAATTTATAGACTCATTTTGTCAGGTCATTTTAATAACCATTGAAACCATTTCCCCTGTCTGGTTGCCTATTAATATTTTCTGTTTTATTTTGGAATTTGTTTGCTTTTTTATTATTTATCAGTCCTTATATTTTGTTTGATTTATGTTTTCATCGCACATATTTTAGTTAAGGTGGTCTTGATCTCCTGTGCTTTCGGCCAAATAAATTATTTTTCAATTCAATTCAATACTTATGAAACTTCTCATTGCAAAGGAATCTGTGCAGCTTCTAAAGAATGCATCCACCACCTGCTGACGAATTGTGGCACCAACAATGCACTGGTCCTCGTCGTTGGAGGCGCTCGTGAGGCTCTCGAAGCCAATCCTGGAAATTTCAACTTGGTGCTCAGCAGAAGGAAGGGTTTCGTCAAACTTGCCCTCCAGCACGGGTTGGTGTGCCGTATTTAACTAGAATTATTATTATTCTTTTTTTTTTGTACTGCAGTTCAACGACGTTTCAGCACAACTGCAATCTTCACGTTCTCTTTTCCTATTTTTGAGTTTTTGTTCTATTTTCCGTTGTTATCTCATCGTAGGTTCATATTTTTAAAATTATGTTTTAATGTTGTTGATATTTTTGATAATTTTAATGATGCTGTTGGTATAAGTTGTATAGAATTGGAACACAGTAATTATTCATCAGTTAAATATAAATGTAGTCACAATTTTTATAAACCTTTTGACTTTTTGGTTAACTATTTATTCTCCCATAACATAAATTTTAAAACAAGTTTAGTGATCGAAATTTATTTTGTAAATTTGTTGTAAAGTATTTTTTTTTTTCAAAGAACCCCTCTAGTCCCAGTCTATTCGTTCGGCGAATGCGACATCTACTCACAGACGGTTCCCCCTCCGGAATCACACCTCTCCAAATTCCAACAAAAGTTCCTCCAACTTCTGACCTTTTCTCCGCCCATATTCCACGGCCGAGGCATCTTCAACTACACGTTTGGACTGCTGCCCTACCGACGACCCATCAACGTTGCTGGTCAGTTGCCGATGGGTCTTTCAAATTGTAAATTATTGACACAAATATCAAAACAAACTGAGGAATGTGCTACACATTAAAATTAAACGATAATTCTAAATTTTCATTGAAGTCGAAAAATAGAATTAATTTGAAAAATAGAATTAATTTGAAAAATAGAATTAATTTGAAAAATAGAATTAATTTGAAAAATAGAATTAATTTGAAAAATAGAATTAATTTGAAAAATAGAATTAATTTGAAAAATAGAATTAATTTGAAAAATAGAATTAATTTGAAAAATAGAATTAATTTGAAAAATAGAATTAATTTGAAAAATAGAATTAATTTGAAAAATAGAATTAATTTGAAAAATAGAATTAATTTGAAAAATAGAATTAATTTGAAAAATGTTGTACATAGAATGAAAAAATATTGGAGGTAAAAAAGGTAAGAACTGGAAAATTAGGACTGAAATCATATTCTGGAGAATTTTTTCTAACATTTTCATGCTCATATTCATTGAACTTTATTAATGAATTTTTTAAAGTCGGAAGTCCATTGAAGCTGCCAACTATACTGGACCCCACTAGCGAGCAGGTTGGCTTTGTTCATTTACATTATTATTATTATAATACAGTTTGTGCGATAAGATAAACTCATTTTGAGATATTGACCCCGTAACACTATCATAAAAAAAACCATATTTACGTTATTGTAGTGAATTTAACGATCAAATTTTATCATATCTACATCTTGTTAATTTATCAACTTATTAAATTTTTCACTATATACTCTCATTTTTTTACAAGCTCTTTCGTCAATTAGTTCGTTCGTTCGATCGATCTATCGATCGTTCATTCGTTCTTCTGTACGTTAATTCATTCATTCATTCATGCATTCATACATTCATTCATTCATGCATGCATGGTTGTCATCGCTACCACAGCCGCTACTTAAACGACGAAGTAGCGCCATGATCGTTACTCCTGTCGAACCATCGTATAAGAAGTGTGTGGTAGAAAATCTTTCAACTTATTTCATTTTGATTTAAATCTTCTACTTTGTTATTAATGCGTTGAAAGAAAGTTGAATGGCGATCTCCCATTACAACGCTCGCAGTTTTACAAAAAATTACAATTCATTAATGATTTTGATTTTATGAAGTAAAAATAAAATGAAAATTTTGTGCCGCTATGATATTGACAACCCTGCAATCGTACACACCTACCATCATCCCCACCACCTACCATCCCTCTCACCACCACCACTACCTCTAGATAAATGAGTGGCACAGGAAGTATGTTGACCAGCTGGTTGACCACTTCGAAAAGCACAAGTTGCAGTTTGGACTGAAGGAAGATGACCATCTCAACATATTGTAATCTGTTTAATGAATTGTGACCATCTTAACATAATTCCACCATCTTAGTATCATGTGACCATCTTATAGTATCATGTGACCACCTTAGTATCACGTGACCATCTTAGTATCATGTGACCACCTTAGTATCACGTCACCATCTTAGTATCATGTGACCACTTTAGCATGTTGTTCTAATCCTAATATGCTTGACCATTTTAATATGTTATATGTTGAGTATGAGGAAGACGATTTGCAATAATGGATAATAAATAATATATAATAATAATATATAATAATAATATGGATAATAATAATAAATAATTTGAAATAAATTTGAAATAAATAATAATAATAATGAGTGGGATGTTAAGCGCCTCTAGTGATAACTAACAAGAATGGTGATGACAAAAACTTATGAAGAATTACTTCACTCTTAATGACGATGACGTTGCATCATGGCAACAACGACAATGATTGAACAAGTTGTGTTGTATGGATGATGATTTCTAATCAATCATTTGATACATTATTTTTACTTGCAATGATTCTGCCAGCCAATATGATACGTTGACATATGCGTAGAAACTCTTCATTTCGTTATCTGAACATTTTATTTTAATTCTGTTACTAATTATTTTACAATTGTCTGTTTGTTCAACGCGGTGAAATTATGTGGCATCTTGGTTGACTACATTCCTCAAAAATTAATTTATTTAACCATTTATTTATTTATATATTCTATTTTTGAAAAATTTCAACTCTGATCTAATTTTTACAATTTAAAGATTTTTTTTGAATATTTTTGCATGTACTTAATAAATTCTCTTTTTATATTTTATTAAAAATAGTTTTGATTTAGTATTAATTAAATTAAATTAATTAATTAACTAATTAATTAATCAATTACTAATTTTTATTTTCATGGTGATTTAGTTTTACAATTATTAGTAAAATTACTATTATCTGCAGCACCATCTATCTATCAATTTGATAAGGGAATATTTGCTACCAGCATCAGTCATGTGATCATATCTCATTCAAATTTTTTTAATTATACTAGAATTAATTAAGTAATTAAATTCCTTAATTTATTAATCAATTAATTAATTTGAAAATTTCATAAAATTTTGCCAGTCGAGACATCTGTGAAGCTACAAATAGATGGAAGGCCCAAATAACTGCGCGAGTGTTAATGTTTTTGATGTCGGAAGTGTGACTTATGTTTGTTAATGACGGCATTTTGCTGTTTTGAATGTTTGAAATGCAAAATTTTTCTATCACAGGGTTATAAATCACACCAAATATGCATTAAAGGTAGTACAACGATCGAAGTACAGCACTTTAAAAGGCGCGCGGACTTTCTGCTTTTAATTGGTTATAAGATTTATAAATTGTAACCACTTGTGTGCTCGCTTCACAATAGAACGAATTCTGCACTCGCTGATATGGCGATAACATTTTTCAGTGTAACGTTAAAAAAGTATTTTACAGCATTAAAAATGTTTTTTTCGAAACGTTGTCGGAGAAATCTTGAGACTTTTGTGACTGTTCTGTGGACGTTCAGCGTTTTCCTTGTGAGTTTCACTGGGGTGGTTCTATTCTTCTGTCTTCTCTGCAGTTCGTATTATTATTTGGCGTTATTTTACGTCGTTTGGTTCGTTTATGATTTCAAAACTTGCGAACAAGGTGGAAGAGCAATCGGATGCCTGAAAAGAAGTAAAATTTGGGATTACCTCAGAGATTATTTCCCAGCAAAGTTGCACAAAACAGAAGATTTCGAAAAAAATAATAATTACATGTTGATCTACCATCCTCACGGTATTGCGGCTTCTGCAGTTTTCACATGTTTGACCACGGGAGGAACTGGCGTGTCCAAGCTTTTTGAAGGGTTCACGTTTCGACCGCTGACACTACGCTGTTTTTTTTTCTGTCCATTTTCAAGAGATTATCTGACTTCTTTCGGTGCGTTTGCTATTTTATTTTATGGGTGAAATTGATTTTTCATTTTACAAATTGCTCGGATGATTCTGTAATACATATGCACATCAAAACAAGACTTCAGACAAAAACACGAAACATGTTTCATCGTTGGGAGGATAAATTTTTGCTGTTATTATTATTTTTATTGTTTGGATTTTTAAATTTAGCCTATTTTTTGCAAAAAGATTTTAGTTTTTTTTAAATATAAAATAAACTGTTGCACTAATTAACATATCCAACAGGACTCTGTGCTGCCTCAAAAGAGAGCATCCACCACCTGCTGACGAAGTGTGGGACCAACAATGCATTGGTCCTCGTCGTTGGGGGCAATCGTGAGGCACTCGAAGCCAATCCTGGAAATTTCAATCTAGTGCTCAGTAGGAGAAAGGGTTTTGTCAAACTTGCCCTCCAACACGGGTGAGTGTTTTTTTTATTTTATTTAATTTTCATGCGTTCCAACATTATTTCAAACTTTGTTTCAACTATCCAGCGGAACTATTTACATTTTGTTCAATCTTAAACTTCATAATATTCCACCTTCCTTCAATCAGAACTCCCCTTGTGCCCGTTTATTCATTTGGAGAAACAGATTTGTATTCGCAGATCATGCCGCAACCAGGTTCAAAACTGCACGCCTTCCAGCAAATAATGTTAACTCATCTGACCTTTGCACCACCATTCTTCTACGGCTTAGGATTGTTCGGCTTCAAATATGGAATCCTCCCCTACAGAAAACCTGTCAATGTTGTCGGTGAGTTTCACTGAAAATTATCGAGTGATCATGTTGCCAAATGGACATTAAAAACAAGCAAAAAACTGACATTTCACGTCTGATTGTTGCCATTAATAGCTAAACATTTTTTAAATTTCAGTTGGAAGTCCACTGAAAGTGCCAACGATCCTGGACCCCAGTGACGATGAGGTGGTTCACACTTGTTTGTCTGCGTGTTTTTAAATTGGTGTGCACTAACATTCGCTCATCTCCGCATGGATGAACCGACCTGTATGTTTTTCACATTCATGTGAATGCGTATATTTTGCTCTCATGGTTCTAAAGTGTTCACAACAATTGTTGAACTGCGCATATTGATGTACTATGTGTATATGCAAGTTTTATAAATAGTGTTGTGTTATGTATTCATACACTTTTCTCAAACTGATACAATAACGTGAACTGATTTCGCGTATTTGTTTTTAAGTTAGCATCAAACGCATCACCATAACACCACCACTAGATAAATGAGTGGCACAAGAAGTATGTTGACCGGCTGGTTGACCACTTCGAGAAGCACAAGTTGCAGTTTGGACTGAAGGAAGATGACCATCTCAACATATTGTAAGCATTTCGACATATTAATGAAAAGTCGGCTTCGACAAGAACGCTCCCAATGTTAGCAATGTATGTGTTTCAAAATCTGCTAACAGTTTTTTAATCTTTATCGTCATCAAATTTATGAAACTTGTTTCATGTTTTTTTCTGTATTTTTAATCCTAATGCCCATTGCCAATTTTCATAAATAATTTTTTTTTCAAATTTAGAAATTGAACATTTCATTTTATCTAAATAAAGAATGTTGCTATTAGAATATTGTAATAATCGATTAGAATAATTCTATTAGAATCTTGATTATTCGATGAAGCTTGTTAACTATCATAGGTCCGATGTTTAAATTCTAGTTTATGAATAGAGGCGTGTTCGATATTAGTCTGAAAGGCATCTCACCCCTAAAGGCACATTTATTGAAGAGCCTAGTAGACTTAGTCATTTTAACAGAATATTTATCCAATCGCACATTTTTATACTTTATTATGTTCCAATAAATGTACTAATAATGAGCATAGTACAAGGACGAGCTAGGCTTTGTGAATCAGTCAAGAGCTGATGATGATCAACCTGGTGATGTCGAACTTGATATGTGATGAGGTACGCACGATCATGTATTTTATTTGTTAATTTATTCTATTTTTCTATTGAAATATTCCAATTTGTTTTATTGAATGATAATGCTTAATCTATATTAGCAAAAATGTTCTCCCGTCCATTATACTTGAACAGACTTATAATTTTTCAATCTACTACTTTAGCTACTTTTTTGAGAAAAAAGGATAATATATTTCCCGAAGTCCATTAATGTTTAGGAAGTTTATAAAACATTTATTTGAGATTTTACCAGTCAGGCAGAGGCCGATGTTTTCTTGATATTTAATTAATTGTTTTCAAATTAATTGCGAATTATGAAAAATTTATTACTTTGTAATATTATTATTGTTCATGAATGTTATTAAACGTGTTATTGACAATATTTACAATATTAACGGTTTGTAAGTTTGGTTATTCAGTTAATAAACATGTCTTGTATTTTTTGTAATCAACAAAGAAAAAATGCGCATGAAAAACGGATTTATTTTAAAGAGTGTAAAAAAAATTTTGAAACGAAAAAAATATTTGAGACTGGGCCTGTAACATTCAGTAATCTAAAAAGAAAATTTCTAATTGTAAAACTCAAGTCTGTAAATTAGTTGAACTATCAGCGAATACGTCCTGGTTCAACGGTCATTTAACGCCAATTTAAACTCCAATAGTCATCGTCTAGTCATTGCATGGATGTCTCTACTATCCATGGTTCATTCATTGATGTAGGTCCACCCGGTATGGTAAGGTATATAGGTTGCGTCCTGTTTGTATCTTTGTGCCGTACTTCCGATAAAAAGTTATACATAAGATGACAAGAACTACGACGAGAATAACTTTTAAATGTACGACATTTCTTTACTTAGTGGAGCCCCAGACACAGATTACATTAGACGTTAACCTTGAGAGATAAGAAAGTGGAAAATCGAGTCATCCGATTCCCTACCACTAAAAACTTGAAAAAAGGTTGTAGGGGATAATGTGAGTTATGAAAGAAGCGACAGGGTACGATGGCGTGGCGTCCTCCCAATTCACCTACCTACATAGATAGCATGTTACATACCCACTAAGTTATAGGCATAGACAGCTGCTCCAAACTGCAACACACTCGCACACGCAACTAAACATCAATGAATAAACAAACAGAAATGGATATACAGATAGTTAGTCAGCCAGCCAATCAGACAGACAGACAGACAGACAAATAGAGAGACTGACGAGTAGTTAGATCTGGTGATGGACAGATGGATGAATAAACAGATCAAGTGATGGATACCTCAAAGAAACAGAAAAATGTAATTTTGAGAAATCTATTTTAATTAATCTGCAATAACAGCATGTACGTACGCTTTTTTTTTTTACAAACGCAGACGATGGCATCACAATGAACTGCGTCATTATTTCTAATTGCTACCCACGAACCCCTCCGTATCACCATCAGCCATCCCAAATAAGAAATAATAATTATTATTAAAATATTTTAAAAAGTGATCACCATCTTTAAATATAAAATAAGCTTCATCATCAGCGTATTAATAATAAATACTATCATCACCGTATATATATATATATATATATATATATATATATATATATATATATATATATATATATAAGTACTATAATTAAGAATTACTTGATGATAAAATTCCCATCGCTACTGATACTGATTGCTTTAAAATACTAACATCCTCATCATCCACATCATCACCATCCTCATCATCATCATCATCACAGTTACTATTTAATTAATTAGATGGATGGATGGATGGATGGATCATCACCATTCTCATCTTCATCATCATCAGCACAGTTACTATAATTAATTAGTTAGATGCTTTTCTGTTGTCAGTATCAACAGTCACGGCGGGGGTAGAGAACAAGAAGTTAAAATACTTTTATAAATATAATAATATTAATAATATTATTAATCATAATAATAATAATATCATTATTATTAATGATAATAATAATATAGCGAAACAGATATAATTAATTACAGATTATTACGATTCATGGAAAGCGAGTTAATGTTCTCATCAGCATCCCCAGAGCATTACTTTAATAGCTATCTCGTAGCAGTTTAATTAATTAATTAACTGATTGAAGTTAATAATTAATTAAACCAATTATTGTCATCGATGAATTAAACGTAAATTACGCATAATAAATAATAAAATAAATAAATAATAAATACAAAATTATTAAAAAACGGAAGAATGCCACCACAAAACAGTTCCCAAAAAAACAAGAGTATAATGTAATTGCTGTCAATTTCCGAGAAATCAATCAATCAATCAATCAACCAATCAATCAATCAGTGAATTGATCAATCAATCAATCATCAATCAATCGATCAATCAATCAATCAATCGATCGGCAAAATATCTGCTCATTTAATCGCCAGATCAAAAACATTTCATAAAATTAATGTGATGAATCAACCAATCGATCAATCATTCATTCAATCAATCAACCAGATGATCAACCAGTTAAAATATCCAATTGAAAATTGTTTAAAACCCAGTCTCCCACACACGCACGCACAGATTAAAAACGAAAAGTATTAAAATGCAATTAAACTAACAATTTGTCTGCCTGCATGTCTGTCAAGCGTTCATAAACAAAGAGCCATCGATCGTAAACAAAAAAAAGTAAACAAGTAGCTAATGATGTTTCGTATTGTGCATTTTCATTGATTGATTGATTGGGTGAACGGTTAGCTGATTGGTTGATAGATTAGCTGATTGGTTGATAGTTTAGCGGATTGATTAATAGATTAGCTGCTTGGTTGATAGATTAGCTGATTGGTTGATAGATTAGCCAATTGATTGATAGATTAGCTGACTGGTTGATCTGGTTGATAGATTAGCTGAATAGCTGATAAATTAGCTGAACGTTTGATAGATTAGCTGATTGATTGATCGATTAGCCAATTGATTGATAGATTAGCTGACTGGTTGATAGATTTGGCGATGGATGCTGGTCGGTCAGGATTGTTAGACACAATTTTTCGCTAAAAAAAACGTTCCGAAACAATCGATTGAAACATTAGCGGGATGAAAAGCAGCTGCATCAATCAACCAGTCAATCATTTAATCAATCAATCAACAATATATCAATCGATCGGCTATTCATTCACTCAATCAATTATTCATTTAATCAATCATTCATGCAATCAATCAGTCAGTCAGTCAATAATTTATGTAGTTAGTTAAATGTATAAACTAATGAATACGTATGATAATTTTGTTAGCGAATAGTTACGCGATTTTATTCATTGGCCTCTATGTACAAGTGCTTTAGGTCGAAAAAATTCAAAGTTAAAAAAAAAACAAAAACTTTAAAGTCATTTTCAGGAAAAAAAATATATAAAACTATAAAATAATCCATTCAAAATAAAATACATTCAAAAACATGTACGAGCATGTATGTATGTATGTGTGTGTGTGTATGTGTGTGTATGTATGTATGTATGCTTGTTTGGATATGTGGGTATGTTACATGTGTGTATGTATGTATTTATGTATGTGTGTGTGTGTGTATGCATGGATGTGTGTGTGTGTATGCATGTTTGGATATGTGTGTATGTTACATGCATGTGTATGTGTGTGTTTGTATGCGATTTGTAGAAAAAGACACTAATATAAATAGACATGTAATCAATAATCATGTAAGATAGAATGAAAAAAACGGACACACACACACACACACATATATAATATATATATATATATATATATATATATATATATATATATATATATATACAGATATACACACACACACAAACTGACACATACAAAATTTACATTATTATTATTATTTAAGTAAATAAGAATATATAACAGTAATAATTATGGTACCAGAGCATAAAAAAAACTATAAATAAACATAAACAAAGTAAACATCTTACAGGAGCAGAGGTGAATGTTAAATGAATAAATTGACGTAAAATTAAACATTGAAGAAAGCAGTGACGTCAGAAGAATGTCATTACGTCATAATGATGAGGCGATGATATATATATATATATATATATATATATATATATATATATATATATATATATATATATATATATATATATATATACGCTAGAAAATGATACGATGATGAAAGTGTAAATGATGTAATGAAGCGTAATGATGATGTTTACTGGTGATGATGTAATGATTACGTAATAATAATAACGGTGGTGATGATGATGGTTCAGAAGGTATTTTCATGGCCGGCCACGACATACAGGTTGGCCAGTTCGTCAGGGTTCTCTGTCGACAGACTCTCCAGCACTATCACTCTGTGTGTGTGTGTGTGTGCTTGATTGTGTGTGTGTGTGTGATTGTGCGTGTGTTGGTGTTTGATTGTGTGTGTGTGTGTGTGTGTGTGTGTGTGTGTGTGTGTGTGTGTGTGTGTGTGTGTGTGTGTGTGTGTGTGTGTGTGTGTGATGGAGTGTGATAAGTAGTTTAGCACGTGTTCAAATACGCTGTTTGTGTGTTGTTGATTCTTGCGAACTTTGGAAGAGTGCATTGTATATGTGAGACTTTTATTAACCTTTTTAACACGCTGAAGATGTGTTGTGTTGATCCACAATCATACACACTTATACGCAATCGTGGAGCACAAAAACAAACACGTACGTACATGCATCACACGTACACATACACAGATGCACACATACACATGCACATACGTACATACACACATACATACATGTACACACACACACACCAACACCAATGCAAACAACTTACTTATCACAACCAAGCAATCGAAAGACTTTTGTAGGCTCGAATACATCCTGTGTAATCTGCATGGATTGTATGAATGGAGTATGTGTTTAGGTGTGTATGTGTGTGTGTGTGTGTGTATTTGTATGTGTGTGTGTTGCATGTGAGTCTATGAGCGTTGTATGCATGTGTGCGTGCGTGCACTTGTCTGTCTCCGAGTTTATATCATCACAGCCGTCATGTTAATTTAGTTAGCTCAAACAGTAGAACGGTCGTTCATTTTACTGTTGGTGGTGCCTGTTGCAGAGTGACCTGGTTCAAATGTTGTCGATCGACTATACGAAGCAGTGCACGCGCACCATCATCACCACCTCTTCCACCACCACCACCACCACCACCACCACCATCCTCCTCATAAACAGACCTCGTTGGTTTTGAAACTTCTTCCTTGCATTCCGTGCCTGTGGAAGGCGAGTACGCTGTCTTGAAGGACCACTGTGGTGGTGGTGATGATGATGGTGAGGATGATGGTGATGAAAAATGATGACTCTTACTTATGCGTTTTTAAAAACATTCGCTTCACTGGTCTATCATCGATTCATTCAAATGATAGAAACAACAGTCGAGGAAAAAAATCAGTAATATAAAAATCGTCAATGTTATCCAATCCAACCGACCGACCAACCAACCAACCATCCAACCAACCGACCAACCAACCAACCAACCAACCAACCGACCGACCGACCGACTGACCGACCGACTGACCGACCGACCGACCGACCGACCGACCGACCGACCGACCGACCAACCAACCAACCAACCAACTGACCAACCAACCGACCAGTTGATTGAATATAGAAATCGAATACGATGACTGACAGCTTCGGAACTCCCAACAAGTTTGTCATCTGCACCAGATCTGATGACAATGATGATAATAATAATAATAACAAAAGCAACAACAACAACAACAATAATAAGAACGACGTTTCTTCACAGCAAGCAGGATAAACACAAGACAATATTTTGTCGCTACCAAATAAATCACGCATACACACACACGCACACAAACGCACACACACACACACACACACACACACGCGTATAATGAATGTGGTAGATAAATTAAATACTATTATTATTATTATTATTATTATTATTATTATTATTATTATTACACATGGTTTTAAACTGAGGCAGCAATCATAAATCACATTAGTTAGTAGGTTGGAAGCATGCTACCTTTCACGCTACTCACTGCATGATATCAGTGCATCAGCAACAATACACGTCACCCATATGCATACGCGCGCGCGCACACACACGCACGCACGCACACGCATACACACACACATATACAAACAAGCAAGCAAACGAACGAGAACAAAAACATTCCGAAAAGATACAACCAGATACGTACGAAAAAAAGATACAACATACCGATACATTCATACATACATACAAACAAACAAACAAACAAACAAACAAAGACATAAACATACTGTCGTAAGAAATAACGAAAGTGTCCTTGTCGAGTTGTGTTACTCCTGTTACCTGGATGTTTTCTTTGCCTGGTTGGTTGGTTGGGTGATTGGTTGGTTGGTTAGTTGGGTGATTGGTTTGTCGGGTGATTGGTTGGTTGGGTGATTGGTTGTGGTTGGGTGATTGGTTAGTTGGGTGATTGGTTGGTTGGGTGATTGGTTGATTAGGTGATTGACTGTTTTGTTGGATGATTGATTTGGCTAGTTAGTTTGTAGTTTGTTGGCCGGTTAAATGATTGGTTGGTTGATTTATTGTTTAGTTAGTTGGATTGTTGATTGGTCGGTTGGATGGTTGATTGGTTGAATGAATGTTGACTGGATGGTCGGTTGAATGGTTGATCAGATGGCTGATTGGTCGGTTGATTGATAGAATGGATTATTGATTGGATGGTTGATTGGTTGGCTTATTTATGAAAGTAGCTTGACGATGTAACTGATGCTCATTATATCAGCGACAAAAAGCAACAGAAACAAACAAGGCATCAGTGTGCTGTAAACAAAAACCATTAAAATAACACAACAACAACACAACAACGCTGACAACAAAATAGAGGCTCAAGACAGACACATCCGGTCTACAGCAACAACATTCCAACAACAACGACAACAACAACGACAGCAATCACTGCAACACATCACAGCAACTGCAACAACAATATAGCACAGCAACTACAACAACAACCACAACAACAACATATCACAGCAACTACAACAACAACCACAACAACAACATATCACGGCAACTACAACAACAACCACAACAACAACATATCACGGCAACTACAACAACAACCACAACAACATTACAACAACACATCACAGCAACCACAACAACAACATATCACAGCAGCTACAACAACCGCAACAACAACATCACAACAACAACACATCAGAGCGACTACAACAACAGCAACCACAACAACAACAACAGCAACAACATAAAAACAGCAACAACAACAACAACAGCCAACCACACTCAGGTCCAATGAACCAGTTGGAGCTAGAATTCAAGTTGATGAGTTCAAATTGCACATGGTTCTTCTTCTCGCGACTTCAATCGCCAAATAATTTATTTAATCATTTAGCATAATTTTTATAATTAATAAATGGTGATCAGCATCATCGTCGTCATCATAGTATCTTCTCATAACCACTAACAATTTCGTCATCATCATCACCCTCATCATCACTACCGCATCTTCTTCTTCATCATCATTATCACCACATCCGCGTCATGAATAAACGATCATTATCATCATCACCATCAGCATTTCTATCACCATCATCATCACCATCGTCATCATCACCTCTTCTTGACGCCCACACATAAGATGGGGTATTGCTGGTCGGGGATTGTGAACATTTCAAAGATCTTCAGGTCAGACATTGAGGGGTAGTCAAATTGCTGGTTGGTTGGTTGGATAGTTGGATGTTTGATTGGTTGGTTAGATGTTTGATTGGTTGGTTGGATGTTTGATTGGTTTGTCGGTTGATCATTTGTTGATTAATTGACTGGTGGGTTGATTGGCTGAATGAATGAATGATTGATCAGTTGATTTTTTCGTTTGTTTGTTGATTGATTGGTGGATTGATTGGTTGGTTGGTTGATTTCATGGCTTACCGATTGGTTAGTTGTTGATGTTAATTAGTTGAATGGTCAACAAAAACAGACAACAACATTGGTAAATAAGACTAGACATTCAACAGCCACAACAAACCACAACAAAAAACCACAAAAACACTAATCACCTCAGGAACTAACAATAACCACATAAACAACAACAACAACATCAACCCCAACAACCACATAAACAACAACAACAACGACAACAACCACATAAACAACAACAACGACAACCCCAACAACCACATAAACAACAACAACCACCACATAAACAACAACAACGACAACCCCAACAACCACATAAACAACAACAACCACCACATAAACAACAACAACGACAACAACCACATAAACAACAACAACAACAATAACAACCCCAACAACAACAATCACAACAACAGCAACAACAACACGAACCTTAAGCAGCATGAACTTGTTGAGTGGATCGAACCACTGCATGAGGAGGACGGCGTGTGGCATGGCGACGCAGAGGTACTGGTAGGCATCGTTGTTGCGGCCAACGCAGCACTTCAAACAGCCCTTCGTGTCTGGCACTCGTGTCGTTATGGCAAACTTTCTGTCGGTTGGTGGTTTTTATTGGTGGCTGGAAAGTCAACAACCAATCACGATCATTTATAAACAGATCAACAACCAATCATTCAAACGCAGATCAACTGCCAATCACAATCATTCAAATGCAGATCATCAACAACCAATCACAATCATTCAATTTATCAAAACCAATCACAATGCAGCACGATCCACCAGTCAAACAACTGACTCCTCCCTCTCACAAACTTGGGCATGAGTCTCTCAGGGATCATGTTGATGGTTGACATGGAGAACCTGTGTGTCCCTCGTCCGTGCAAGTTCAGAAGGTCGTGTCGGTAGAGGGCTGGTGTCTTACCTGGGTGTGGTCCAGTGGTTTGTGGTGGGTTGGATGGTTGGTTGGTCGGTTGGTTGGTGGTATTATAATGTATTACAAAAAAAACAGAGCGCTACTAAAAGACGTTTTCAAAAAACTCGGCAACAAAGTTTAAAGTCAAAATAATACGTAAAAAATATTACAAATGCAAAATAAACAACAGAGGGCAGCAGAGAGCACCGACCGGATATGGACATGAGGACATCCTTAACAACGCACATCCACACACACGAACGTGCATGCAACTGTTCAGTGATTGGTTGGTTGGTTGGTTGATTCATTGATTGGATGGTAGGATGGATGGTTGAGCAGTTGGTTGGTCAGTCATTGATTGAATGGTCAGTCATTAATTAGATGGTTGGTCAATCAGTTGGTTGGTCATTGATAAGATGAATGAATGCAGCCTCTACATAAAGCTATATTCATTTAATTAATGTGACGACCGAGTGATGTCAACATAAAACATTTTAAAAAATGATGTTCATAATTCGAGACGGTTTGAAAAAGTGTACAAGTTCCGGCGGCCTTATCACGGCGATCAGCCAGCCCCCCAGCGTAAGTGCTGGCCGTCGTAAACATTCAATGAAGATGACGATGAGAATAAAATCAACTGACCAGCTCCATGCTGTTCTCGTGGATTTCGTTGAGGTTGAGTGTGTAGATGCCTGTGTTGGAGCCGATCAGGATGTGCTGGTCTGTGTTTGTTGTGGTTATTGTGTTGTTGTTGTTGTTGTGTTGTTGTTGTTATTGTGTTGTTGTTATGTTGTTGCTGTGGCTATGTTGTTGCTGTGTTGTTGTTATGTTATTGTTGTGTCGTTGTTGTTGTTGTGTTGTTGTTATGTTGTTGTTGTGTTGTTGTTATGTTGTTGTTGTGTTGTTGGTAGTGTTTTTGATGACGTTGTATGTATTGTTGTTGTGATGGCAAATAAAACCCCACATCCCAACCAAGCAGCTAACATTCGACCAATCAAAAAGGAGGCAACAGGCCAACCATCACAGAAATAACAAGCTGCACATCAAACAGCCATCTATAACTTACCTATCGACAAATAAAAAACTAAATTTACCAGACAAATGTCAACCAACCAGCCAACCAACCAGCCAACCAACCAACCACAACCAATCAACCAACCCTTCGTGTACGGATGCACCCAGCTTGTCGTGCAGTTGATATGAAGAGGGCAGCCATTAAAAACTTTTGAAAAACATGCTCCCATCTGCAAATATCACCTCTTTTTTATAAATTATAAGAACACTCAAAGACAGCTTAATTTGCATAGCGCTGAATTAAACTCTCCACAAACACAGAAAGAACACATGTGGAATGCGCAAAACAACACACGTGTATGAACAATAAAAGCCCGGAGATCTCTTTGAATTTTAACGCCACACAACATGCCAGTCCAACGGACGAAACGGCAATGACAATTTTTGTACCATTCATAATAACAAGAAATACACAATCGATAAAAGCATGAAAAAGAACCAGATGATTTCTTGTTGATGTTTTTGATGTTGTTATTGTTGTTGATGATAATAGTCCAATTGTGTATACAGGGCGTTGTGTATCAAAGCGATGCAAATTTTAAAATCAACTGGTTTGTTCATGCTATTGTTCTTCTACCAAACTGGTAGAAGAACAAGGAGTTAATGTTTCAGAGAGCCACCCGTAGCAAGGTGATCAGTTTAAATGTCACATTTCTTGATAGGGGCGACCAGCCCCCTAGATGACAACATCATTAACATCACCAACAATTTCTCACTCATCGTCATCATCATCACCAGTCACTCACGTGAACTTTGGGAGTTGGAGGAAGACCATTGCACATAGGTTTCTGTGATGATGATGATGATGATGACGATGGTAATGATGATGATGGAGATGATGATGAAGATGAATATGGTGGTGATGATGATGGAGATGGCGATGATAATGGAGATGGTGATGTTAAAGACGATGACGAAGATGATGAAAACTATGACGAAAATAAAGATGATGGTGAAGATGATGATGAAGATGATATGATGATGAAGATAGTGACGAAGGTGGTGATGATGATGATGATGGCGTCGACGATGATAAAGATGATGAAGCCAATGTTAATGACGGTGAGTATAGAACTACACTCGTCAATAATTACACTCGCTAACAACCATCATCACTCACTTGACCGACAGAGTTGAACGTGGATAACCAACAACATCAGAAAAAAAACCACAGCAGATCCAACAAAAACAACAACAATTGTGACAGCAAACACCAGCATAAAACAACTAGAAACAACAACATCAGCAGCAACAACATTATCAAGAACAACAACGACACAAAACAACATCCACAAGAACATAAAACAAAATAAACGTAGAACAATCACAATAAACAACAACACGAACAACAACGGCAATACCAACAGCGCCAATGATGATAACAACATCGAGATAAACACCACTAACAACGACAAACATCAACAACAACAACATCAACAACAAAGAACAACAACAACAACAGCAACAACAAAAAACAACAACAACAGCAACAACATACAGACGACTCATCCTCCATAGTTTTAGCATTGGGAGTAGAAGACGGCGAAAATGATGATTTGTTGTTCATTGCGTGGTTCGACTCGCTCTCGCTTGTTGGCGATGTCGCAAATTTTGTGGCGGCAGCCGTCGTTGTAGTTGGAGTCGTTGTTCGGGCTGTTGTCGGTGTTGTTGCTGATGATGAGGACGATGTGATAGTTGTTGTTGTGGTTGTAAGTAGAAGGTAGTTCTGATTTGGCTCACCAATAAAAAAATTTTGTATGTCACGATTGTACATTTGTTGTTGTTGTTGTGAAGTGTAATTCGTTGTTGTTGTTGTCGGTGTTTGTAGCGGCGAGTTGACGTTGTTGCTCTGAAAAAGAAAAAACAAACTTAGGTTAGTGAAAAATTTTTTTTTCTAAATATTTCAAAAGGGTAGGGGTTAATGAATGACGGATGAATGGTGTATAAACGAATGAGTGAAAGACGGATTAATGGGTGAAAGATGGAATAATGGATAGACGGATGAATGAATAAATGAATGAAAAGTTAATGCAAAAAAATCGGAAGATGACTCACCATGATCTCATTGCTGATATGATTCCTGTTGTATATATAATATATATAAAAACAAAATAAAAATGTCGTCACCATCATTATTAATAATATCGTTATTTTTATTATTATTATTATCATATTATATTATATTTCCATATTTATTTTAATAACTAATAAAGGTACTAAAATTAAATTATTAAAACATTAAATAGCCACACCGATGACGTCACATCATTAATTAATCACATCACAACAATAACAATATCCCGACAATAACAATATCATAACAACACGATCATGACGTCATCGCCATCATTACCGTCAACTCACATTGGTTTCAAGGTACTGTCATTTCCTGGCTAACAAATACAACAAAAATAATTCAACAATATAATTTTTTTTCTACAAACAAATTAATTAATTAATTCATTCATTCATTCAATTAAATAACACTTAATTAATTGAATTAATAAAATTACTAAAATGATAGTAAAGTTAATGACGGTAATAAACGACGACAAAAGAAATAATAATAAAAATGGTGACATCAGAAACAAGACGACGATATGCCCATTCATCCATTATTATTATTTTCGGTCATTGTGAGGATTTTACAATACTTATAATTTACCACTTGCCAATTTCGTCTGAACATCTCAGAAACATTTTGATAAATTCTATTTAATCTCCGTCATATTCGATATATTGTGAAAGAAATGGCGAATGAATCCTATTCTAAACTGACGGGCGGTTAAATGGTTAAAGGCGCCTGGTATTGCTGCTGCAGTGACTGGGTTCGAAAACAAAGAGACCCCCGCCTATCACATGCAATGTGTATGACGCGTGGTTTTCATGCGTATTCATATACGTTATGTGTATTGGACGTTGAAACCTCTGAAGCAAGCGCGAAAGAGAGAAACTTTTAACCTTTAACATGTCTTATTGGTGGTACTCATTCGCATTGAATGAACAGCAATAAAAATCACCAGTTTTAATTAATTTTAACTCTATTTTATTTATTTCATTTTATTATATCGGTAGGTCTTTTTTATTGAATAAAAAGCAAATTTCACATTATTGTTCTTATTTCTAATTGTTTATTCATTTACCTGGTCATTTAAATGAAGGCATTTGAAGTCTTGTCGAACTGAATCTGCATCCTGATTGGTGGATATATAAATAGAACGCTAATGAATAAATTAAAAATATAAATGTATCAAGTCTAACATTAAGTAAATAAATAAATAGACAAACAAACAAATAAGAATAGTAATGAGCATTTATTTATTTGATGATTTTTTTGTTGTGTTGTTCCCCGAAACTTTTTAACAAAATGCAACGCACATATTGTATATTCTTTACTGTTAAACAGTTTATTATTACAATAGAAATGAATGTTATTAGTTTATACACTGACAAAACAAAAAACTCAGCAAGTTAAATATTCAAAAAAGTTATTTTCCATGTCACTTATGGAAAACCAGTTGAACCAATTACTTCACGAAATGTTTTACATGTTATTGCTCCAAATGTTGCGAACTTTATTGTCTATGTCATGCATTAAAACAAAATTGCTCCAAATGTTCTTGCGGGCGTTGTGAGCCGGGTTGTTGTTGCTCCATATATTGCGAATTTGCGACTCATCCTTTGCAAGGGAAAAACTTCTCAGGTTTTCACTTTCGGCTGGAATCTCAAGCTCGCTGTTGTTCTGTAATATTCTTCTTCTGCTTTCGAAATGTTCACTTTCGAACAAATATTGCTGAATAATTCTTCATTTTCGATTTCACCATCCTTCACAAAAAACATATCCCAAATATCGTCTTTAATGCTCTCTGATTCCGATTCATCATGTTTTGGTTGTTGATTTTCCAGTAGCATTTCTCCGCTGTTTTTGAACTCTTCACTTTGCTCCACAAAATTGTTGGATGCAAATTTATAGTTCACTTTATCCTTCGTCACAACAGACATGTCCCAAATATTGTCTGCTGTGCTTTCATTTACAATCGCAAGCTTATTGTTTTCCAATATCCATCTATCACATTGTTTAGGATGTTTCTTTTGCACTGAAACTTTGCTGAGCGATTTATCACTTCTTATACAACATCCTTCGTATTGCCTACAATATCATTTAAAAAGCTTACATTTTTCGGTAAATATTCAGCTCTACTTATTTCTACATGCTTCAAAATATTTTTCAGATAATTCTCAACATTTAAGTTCTGCACTGAAACACTCTTGTTTCAAACGCAATTTTTCGCGTTCATGCTTTTGTTTGAAGATTCGTATTTGCTGGTTTCCATTTTCTTTTCCCTGTTGTCTTGAGCTTGTTCCCAATTTAATTTTTTCAAAACAGTTGGAGGAACTTTCATGATTATGAATTTTAAGTCCCTGGTAGTGATAAACACCGTTCCATTGAATGTAAGTGTGACATCGAAACATTTCTTCAGATTTTTTGAAGATTTCAAAGCAACCAGTATCTGGTCGCTCATTCGGTTAAAGATGGTTAGTCTAAGGCCGTAGTAATTGTTGCATACAATCAATTCATCGTTTATTCCAATTTTTACAAAAATTGGAATTCTGTTATTCCTTCCTTTCCTATCGTCCGCAGTTTGTGGCCTTCATAATTGATCACCTCTACACAATGTTTTCGATTATCGCAAACGAAGAGCTCGTTGTGTTTATTGGCGGCAATATTGTAAGGAAAGTCGATATCTGGGCAGTGCAATGTATTCAGCAACAATCCCTTTTGGTCAAATATGTAAATTTTCTTGTGCTAGAATCCAGGAGAAATATTTTGAAGTTGTTATCCATGCACACATCCTTTGGATTCGTTGCTTCGTAACGGAAGGAGGTTATTTTGTATAAATTTTCCCCAATCACCGTGATTCTCTTGTGAGGAGGTCTTTCGACAACAACTAACCATTTGGTATGCGGACACAAATACATGCAGTCAGGCGACCACAACAACGTTCTGTTGTTGTGCGTTTTAACATTTGTCTTTAAATTTCCATTCAAATCAAATATTTTTAATGTATTGATTTTTGTGTCCGCATTTTAACTTGATTTTCTGCGTACATCGTTGTAAATGCGCATAAAAATGTATTTCGTGATTTATTCAAAGTGTTGATTTTACGACGGTGACGCAATTTTAAGATTTATTATAATATCGTCTTTATGGTTTTAACTTCTTTGTGAGTTATTGTTTGTGTTTCCCAGACCACGTCTGCCAATGATGCCAGTCCAGACGCTGAAGTTTGTTCCAACCCTTGCGTTGAAATCGCCTAAAACTACAATTTTACCATCTTTATGTATTTTCTGAAGTGTGGTACGAAGAAAATCCTAAAACATATCATAACATTTATATCTATAATATTAATAATGTTAATAATAATAATAATAATAAATAAAATTTTAAAAATATTGACATTAACAGCACCAATAATAGTGATAATGATAACGAAATTAGTTGAATATTCAACAAATGCCGATGTACTAACGTGAAAATAATATGATTCTATGTTGTTCTTTTGTGACTGCAATATGTTATCTATGGGGTTAATATTATTATAATTATTTCATCATCAAAACCTCATTGCCGACGTCATCACTTATATCATCAACTCGAGCAGAAAGATACAGTTATACAAAGACAAAGGCGATCCCATGAATTGTTCATCATATTGCGATATACGCCTCGAGAAGATTCTTGAAAGAAGGAAAAAACACCACGCCTCATAACCAGAGTGTCGGAGTCGGATGCAAAAATCTCCGACACTCCGATCAAACCCGGCAACAAGAGTTTGGTTTTATGGCTGGAAAGTCAACCATCAATGCAGTTGACATTATCCGGCAACTACAAGAAAAATTCCTGGCAAAACATCCCAAGTTATCACACGTTTTTGTAGACCATGAAAACCCTTTTGATCGAGTTCCCGTGAAGCAATCATTTAGAATCTAGGTCGACACAACCTTCCTGAACATCTTGTCCGTTTGGTCATGGCAACGTACAAAAATACGAAGTCCCTCATCCGCACAACAGTTGAGGATACGGGAGAGTTTGACATTGGCTTCGCTTCCACTACGGCTCGATACTCAGTCCACTTTATTTATTTCATTGATAGAAGAGATAAGGAAGCCCATACGCACCGGCGAAATTAGTAATCCGATGAATATGAATCCGATGTGTGCTGATAATATTGTCCTAACGACCACATAACAAAAAAACGCAGCATGAATGTTTGAAGAATGGAACGCCCAACTAGCTGACCATAGATTCAATCCCACACACCTCACATAGCTGTGGCTCGATTCATGAACATTTAAATTGAAATAAACTAGGCACCCCCTAGACGAGCTACAACAACAATCATGGATGCAATGTGGCAAAACCATTAAACCCACAACTCATTTCGATGATGAAACAAAGAGAACAAATAATAAACACAAGACTAACTTTTGTCTGGTGGGATGTCAGACTGTTGCTGTTGTTGTTGTATGTGCTGTTTTTGTATGTGTTGTTGTAGTTGTTGAGCTTGTTGTTGTGTTGTCTTGCCAGCTCTCGGAGTTGAGGGAATTCTCACAGGGACGTTCATGAGGGTCTGTGGGTGAAGGTAGTACGAATGAATGAATGGATGGATAAAATTAAAAAAATGGATGGATGGTTTATTGGATTAGTAGATGAACAAATGGACAATGAACAGAGATATTTATACGTGTACTGACGGATGGATGATAGAAAGACGGATAGATAAGATGAAAAGATGAAATAGATAAAATGGATTAAATGAATGAATGAATGAATGAATGAATGAATGAATGAATGAATGAATGAATGAATAAATGAATGAATGAATGAAGGTAAAAACTTTATTGTGCAACTGAATTACATTAATAATTAGAAATGATTATAATAATGCTAGAACTACTCCTACTACTGATACTACTACTACTACTAATAATAATAATAATAAGAAGAAGAAGAATAAGATAATAATAATGACGATAACAACAACAACAACAACAATAATGATAATGATTATGATGACGACTGGACCTCATCTTCGTCGATGTCGTTGCAGTCTGGGTAAGCGATGGGGGCGGCGTGGCTGATGTTGTTGTACGCCTTGTCCATCAGGTCACGTGTTATCTGCTCGCTCATCTCCCGATTCACGAATGGGTGCTGATGATGATGATGATGGCGATGATGATAATGATGATGACGACGATGGTGATAATGGAGATGATGATGGTATTAATTTAAAACAGAATGATCTAGTTATCGCTAAAATAGCTGGCAACTTTTCAACATAATGCTCCGGCTACACTTTGAAGAAGAAGAAAAAAGAAGAGTAAGAAGAAGAAGAGGAATGATAAGACCACCTCTAGCAGCTTATCAGCAGTAGGTCTCCTCTTTGGGTTCTTAGTGAGGGCGAATTTGACAAAATTGTGAAAGTTCTGTGACCTGGTTTGTTGTGTAATGTAATGTTGGAGTCATTCACACTATCATCATCATCACAATCATCATTACCATCATCATCATCATCATCATCATCAAGAGAATTATCATCAACATCATCTTCCTCATCGTAATCATAATCCCGATAACATCATAATCATAAAAATAATCTCCATCATCATAAACATCATCATTTTAATACATTCACGATACTTATCATCATCATCATCATCATTATCCTCATCATAACAATCATTATCAGCAGCATTAATAACACCATCATCACCACCCAAACAAGCCAATGGCCAACCAACCACTTGTTCTTATCGTGCAGTGTTGGTGGTTTGAAGCCGCTTTTTGACATTATGAACAGAGCCCTGTTTGTTGGATTAATTACGCACATACATCATTCATCATTCATTCATTCATTCATTCATTCATTCATTCATTCATTCATTCATTCATTCATTCATTCATTCATTCATTCATCTATCTTTTCATTTTTTCATAATTTATACATTCCTACATTTACTAATCCGTTCATTCATTCGTTCTTCTATTCATTCATATATGCATGCATATATTAATCTATGACAATCGTTATATTAGGTATTTTCTTATAATGATAATCTATTACAAATTATAATCAAATAATAATAATAAGAAGAATAAATTTGACCCGATCTGACCTCATAGGATGGAGGTCAAACATGGGAGGTTGAAGTTCGGCAAACTCGATGCATGTGATTCCCACAGCCCAGATGTCACACAACTGGTCGTAGCCACCTTTGCGTTCAACTGCCGCTACTTCAGGAGCCATCCTGTCGTGTGTGTGCGCGCGCGTGCGAGTGTACGTGTGTGTGTGTTGCTTGTGTGTGTGTGTGTTGCTTGCGTGTGTGTGGTGTGTTATTATCCTTACGGCGATGATTGCAGATTTTCAATTGTCATTAACTTATTAACTAGAAATAAGAACAATTGAGATTATTAATATTAATAGAATATAGATTTAAATTGAACGTTTTATCAAGTCATGGCAAAAAAAACATGAATATTAATGAAGCAAAATAAATATGAATATTAATGAAGCAAAACCAATATGAATATTAATGAAGGGCAGCTAACCAATAAGGAGTACCAATGAAAGATTTGCGTTTGCTTATGGTGGCGGTTATCTGGGCGGCTACTCCAAAATCAGCTGGTCAGTTTTGGTTGGTTGGTTGGTTGGTTGGTTGGTTGATTAATGAATTTTATTTATGGAAAATGATTTTTAACAAAATTCATTTAAATTAATTACTATCCCATGATAAAAGTTCATAAATATTTTTTCGACATCATAATCATAATCATCACCATCACCATAATCATCACCATCATCATCATCATCATCATCACAATCATCATCATCACAATCATCATCCTAATCATCCATTTTATCATCTTCCCCTTTAATGTAAAATCAACAACCAAGACAGTAACGGCAGCGTAAATTAATAATAATAATGACACCACCATCACCATCAACAAAACAGCAAAACAACGAAATAATCACAACT